AAAAAAAAAGCACAACACAAAATTAGGCATCTGTGTACTACAGTTTATGGTCATCATTTGCCAGCTCTACTAAACCTTATACAGAGATGACAGCAGGTATCTCTGTGTGTGTGTATATATACATATATACATGTATATTCCCTCCCCACAGAACTCATTTTGAAGCAAAAGGGGGGTTTGGCAATGTAAATGGTCTCCGAGACCACGTTCTATTGTACAGTATTACTCAGGTAATTTAATGATGCCTTGATTTGCTTGATTCTTTGTCCCTGTCCTTGTCACAGAGCTTTTAGATTATGCTTTTCAACTAGCAGAAACAAAACTTTTGACAAGTGTTCACTATCTGTTATTTATAGTCTGGTGCTTGACACAAAGGTCTGGTGACCACTCACAGCTCTACCTGTGGTCAGCGCTAGCTGTGCTCTGGGCATGAGGTATTACGTGGAGCCGATTACTTGGAAAATGAGTATTTCAGGTTCAGCATCCAAAATTAAAGGATTCTTTTGACCTTTATCTTCATATGCCTCACTTCTGCATTTGACGATGAACCTTCATTTTACAAAACATGAAGCCTTATTCATGTGTTTTTGTGATGTACTCAGACGCTGTAGATGTAAATGCTGTGGAGGAGTCCTCATAGAAATTAATAATTCTGTTTTCAAATCAAGGCTTAAGTAGGACTCAGTAAATACAGTCCACAGCTACACAGAAAAAGAAAACAAAATATTGCATGATTGATCATTAAATGAACACCATCCATTACGTACATCAAAAGAGCAGAGGTCCTGCGTGGATTAGCATGCTTATTGAAGATTGTGGATGACATCAAATTGTTTGCACAAACAGCTGAAGAGCAAGTTAGAGAATGACATCAGAATTCACAATGAATTTGTGACAGTAGGGGAAATATTCTGGAAAAAGGTAGGAGGCAATACAAAGAAGATAACGCAAAGCTTTACACTTCGGTAGGAATGATTATGTGCACAAATGCAGAAGAGGTAAATGACTCGTTGGCAGCAATACTGCAGAAAACTCCCTTTGCCTGTGAGATACGTGAATTGACTCTCGCTGCTGTTGGCCCTTGCAAGGAGTCAGAGCTTCTTCCGAGCGCTGGGTCTGGTTCTGGTGCAACACAGGAAGAAAGGTGGGAGTGACTGGGCACTATCCAGAGAAGGGCAATCAGGGTGAGCAAAGGCTTAGCAAAATGTCTGTGAGGAACAACTGCAGGACTTTCGACTTAAAACCAGAGAGGAGAAAACCCACGTGAGATGTGATAATAGTCTTGCAATAAGAAAGAGCGCCACAAAGACAAAGAAAAGAAACTGTTTTTCATGTTCTTTCGAGTACTGGAAGCAGAAAGGGGTTTACATGACACTAAGGAGGCTTTAGATGAGACATCAGAAAAAAACTTCCTGAGCACAAAGCTAGATGCTGAGGGTATTTCTGGAGGCTTCTGAGAACATGCCTGTCAAGTATGCATGAGGAATGACAAATAGCTGATCCTGCCTTCAGGATAGGGGTGGTCTAGATGGTCTCTCAGCCTTTTCTGCTCTATTTTGTAGGTTGTCTGTGAAAAAGGTCACGTACTCGTCCAAGAGCTGTATCTCAAGGTGCTCACTGCACGGGGACTGAGTTAAAGCTGAACAATAGTTTTGATTCTGGCACGTCTTCCCTTCAGAAAGCGTGACTTGTAACCTCAACCAGAGTACAAGGAGAAAAGATAGATTTTCTTGGCTCTACCCCTCCTGCTTGTCTTTGCCTTCCCCATCGCTGGCTCCTCATACCAGCCCCTGCCTGCTCCCTTAGCCACATCCCCACTCTTCCCACTACTCATCCACGCTTAAATTTCTTGGCTGAACTAGTGCTTGTTGTGCAGCTTCAACCCCATCTTAAGCATCAGGTTCTTCTTGCTCCAAGTTCGAATGCTCGGTCTGGGGTGTTGCATCTCCCCAGCTGCCCCAGGCAGCGCTGCCCAGATGTGGGCTGGTGCAAAATCCCTCAAAAAGAAACCCAGGAGGAATCGAGCTGCCAAATTCTTGTTAAGTTTCTATAAAGTGTATGTGAACCCTGCCAGTCCAACTTGGAAGGGGCAATTTTCCCAAGGAAGCCAAAAGACACGTTCTTGACAAAACGCTGTATTCACCTCCCTTCCGAAGCCAAATTTGTATTTCTGCTGCCACTGATATCCACGGGATATTTGTCCAAGAAAAGACTGCAAAATGTTCTAACATGAACAAAACATATTTTCTCCAGTCTCAGAAACTGTTGAATAATTTGGGCTGAAAACCCATACTCCATTTCATCTGGTCATTTAAAAATTAGAACCTTGTATTAGAAATCTGGTACAGGCAAACTGAGTCTAAACTGGCAGACAGCCTGGTAAATCCTTGAAAACAACATTTTATAACAGAAATTTCAGTAACAGACAGAGCTGCTATCCCTACTAGAACAAGTACCAACATAAGTTCCCAATGACCTTTAAAATGGCTAAAAATGAATTTAAAACGAAGACGCAGATGCAGAAATCCCAAGGAGAGCGCAGTTCATTTAGTGCTCTACCTTACTGCAACCCAAATACCAAGGAAGTCTGAAAAGACATTTGCTTTTGAGCTACTTTATATGACAGGGACAGAAAAAACATGAAATTGATTTAATTGCATATTTTTGTATTAATTATCAAAACTGCAGACAAAATACAGTTCAGAGAATGACTAAAAAATGATAGAATTGGTGATCTGCATTTTAGTCTATCATCTTTTCTCTTACCTGCTACCGAAGAACAAGAGGAACCCACTCCTTGAAGGGACCTGGCAATAAACAGTAATGTGTAGCTTCCAGAGAAGGCAAACACTACAGAAAAAAACAGAGGTAAATTTTTTAAATTAGGTTAACTCTAACTAGGTTTAAAAGTTAGGTTTCTTGAAACTATCACAAAAACTTCATACAATTTAGTCCAGTGTTTACAATGACTTGTGCCACTTTCAATGCTAACTGCATTATTTTCTCTTATTGCATTTAGATGTGTCAGTGTTGAATTGCTCTCAGGTGTCCAAGCCTCCTGGTAACACAGAATGCAAGCGCACAAGCAGTTTTAACTAATTACTTAGGATTTGATTACATCCTGCTCTGCTTCAGCTGCACACAGAAGGAGTAGTAAGACTTTTCTTCCCAGCCTTGCCTCCCCACACTGCTTCATCTAGGGCGGCCCAGCCTGAAGCTCCAGGCATTCAAGAAAAGCAGGATTTAACTAACACACATGCACCTACCTGCATGTATGCATGCACGCATACATGCACCAATGTTTCCTCCAATAAGTAAATGGGTGGAGAGAGATTTTACCCTGATGTTGCTCGCTCTGCAGCAGATGCTGTGCAGCAACCGCTGGCTGAAGGTGCATTAAGGCAGCTTCACCTCTTCAAGGGCTGTAGCAAGTTCCTGATCGTCCAAACAAGCAGACCACCAGAGAAACTGCACCTGAGGAGATGCCTCTTTATCTCTCCCCAAGAGATTTTACCCCAGGCTCCACTCTGCTTTTTTGGGACAGAGCTCCTGGATGCTGCACTCATCAGTCCAGCCAAATTCCACATCCACAACACTGGAAAGTAGGAGCGTCCCAGAAACCCAAGCACATCTCTGCTTGTAGAGCCTGTGTCATGGTCAGGGTCATTAAATCCACAGTGACTTTTTAAAAACTTTTTTCAGGTCCTATCTCAGCCACCTCGGGAATTTTGCCAGACAGGTTATAGCTGGAGGAAGCTGTTATGCACCAACTAAACACAAGATCCACGCGTGCTTCTCCCACGCGCCCTGTGGCACTGTGCTTCTTGGGCTTTTCATCAGGTCTTACAAAAATCCCTACCCATGTGGACTGAGAAAAATCAAGAAAAATAAAGGAAGTAAGGACATCAGCAGATCAACAGTACTTCCCTCTGCCATGAATCAGGCTCACTATTCTTACCTCCATCCCAACCAAAATTTGTCTAACATGTTCCTAAAATGCAGAGCTGTCAGTAACTCTAAGACCAGGTAATCTCCAGCACTTTAGTCCCCTTGATGATACAGTTTTAAGATTGTTATTCCTTCTCTTATGTACAGGGGACATGGAAAAGTGTTTGTTCCATTCCTTTTTGTGATAGACTCTGATACATCTTACATCTGCCTTCTGGAGCTAAACTGGTTCTTTCACCATTCCTCACAGGCCTCTAATGATCCTTGATGTTCTCCTTTCTACTCTTTCCATCTGGGTCACAATTTTAAGTGCCATGCCAAAACCAAACATAAAACAGCAGCTGAAGCCTTATCAATGCCATTAGAGCAGACAAATTATCTCAGCTGACTTGCAGGCTATGCTCCTGTTTGCACATCCCACAGCGATGTTTAACAACGCCGTGATACTGTTGACTCATTCTACTCATGAGCCACTGCAGCCTCACGATCTTTCTGATAAGCCCCTACGATAGCTAGTCGTTAAGGATCCTGCAAGACAGCCCTCTCACAGCTGACAGCCCTCCCATGGCTGTTTAAAGCTGTCCGAGCACTGCTTTGGATTACAAGAACCTGAGAGAAAGATTCAGCTAAGGAAGAGACTCGCCAAGGTGGGATGGAAGGTGGTGAATTCCTTAGAGCACGTTCGTAAGAGTGTGCTTGTCAAATCTCATCAGCACCACCATCCACATGGAGCAGGCACTCTTGAATTTTCCTTGGAAATCAGTCCCTCTACATTGAGAAGAATTTCTAGAGATATTTATTACAGATCATTTATTTAAAAGTTGCATCTGGGCCAGACCAAATAATATGTGGACACTTACTGATTGTTGACACAAACATGATGCAGAAGCCAGCAAACAGTGGAATCTGGTAGCCTATTCTGGAAAACAAAATGAACATTCACATTTCTGGGATTGTCTCATTGACACTTTGAGTTAGACTTAACTCACATGAACGCACACACTGCAAAAACCCAACCTGTAGTCCCTTGGTAGGCTTTGAACCATTTATTGCAGACCGCATGATCAAATTTGTCCACGTTACAATTGGCTTTTCATCTGGCACAGCAGACTTTCTATCTGAAATCCCGGGAAGAAATCATTCCCTCATTAGAATTGGATTGCTCTGTTCTCGTTCCACCATAACTGTTCCCAATAAAGCCCCTCTGGGCCTCCATGGGGTTGCCGAGAATAAGAGAAGGGAAGATTTGTCTGAGCATGCTGAGCTTTGAAATATCCCAGTAGTGTTTCAATGCTCGTCTGCTTCCATCCTCATGAGACAAGGACTATAATGAGACATGGTTAAACCAATGGCTTTTTTAATAGGAAAATTTGTCATCAGCTTTCTTGGGAGTTCTGCCTCAGTCAGGAGCACTGGAAGCATCCCAAAGAGCCTGAGAATAATATTTTTGCTCTCCATGGGTTTAAGAGTAAAAATGGAGCTAACAAAACTTTCTCCATCAGCCCACTTCTTCATCAGGACTCTAAACAGTCTAAAGAAATGCCTGGTTGCTATAAGTTTTTTCAGGTTTCCAGGAAATACAGGTTTTTCTGTCTGGAAAGCAAACACATATTTTCAGCAGCTAAATATGAATTTTCAACAAAAAAATTCACAATATACTGTTTTTCATGCCATTAAAAATCTACCCTAGAATCAAAACCACTACCCAGGTAGCTCTAAAGAGTCTGTATATTCTATTCAGCACACTTTATTCACAACTCTTTTTTTGTAAGATTCTGCATCTTAAATGTGTTTGTATTATTTAAAGGCCAAATTCTTCAACAATGGATGATGCTTTTCAAAGGAGTACTGATCGACTTCAACTTCCAGTGCCCATTTTGACACTGTTAGGCATTTATATTGGCAATATTGGCTTAAGTAGGTCAATCAAATAATGGAAGAGTGTATAATTCCTTTTTATTTTTAATAATTACAGTCTTGACATAGGTAAACCAACCTAATTATTCTACGCTTTGTTTTTTCATTAATATAATTTTTATACAGGTAAGGACCATGGATAATGGAAAACTCTCCGAAGTGCACGGCTTGATGTTCATTATGTGTCGTCTTGTAGCATTTGAGTTTTGTGAATGAAAGAAATCTAGCATGCACATTTCCACATGCCACAGAAATCTCTAATGAAGAACAATTTTGCCTTAAATATTATCACTACATTAAAACATGACAAAAATGTAGTGCACAGATTCTTCTCGTTGAAATTTGTAAGTGGGTGTTACAAACATCCAGCACAGACTAGTTACTCGTGTGGTACTTAACTGGACCAGTATCTCCAAAGCAAATTAAATCTCTGGGACTATCACAGACTTCCTCTGTGGCCTTATGATAAACATTTTAATGTTTCAGAACCTTGATACCTGGCCTGTAAGAGAACAATACTACTTTTTGTCTGCTTTATTTAAAGTGGATGATTTTTCTAAGCCTATCTCTTCTCTTACTGTGTGTATAGTAAGTATTATACCATGGGATGCCAATCTCCACTGACGTTTCTATGTACACAAGGAAAGAAAAAATTATCCTCCCCTGTTCCTAACTTCTTGCCTGCCTCAGAGCTGAGATAGGCACTTCCCCTCCCAGTCAGTTCAGGCAGAACAGGTCACAGAGAGTTTGACCATAACTGCTTTTATTTTTAATTTTTCATTTAAAGCAAGCACTGATATTAGTACAGATTAAAAAAAACCACCTTCAACTGCTGTTGGTGAGTGATATCATCTTTCTCTGTCGGACTAGGCAAGCAGAAGTTGAATGTCCTTATGCTTTCTTTTGTTGCAAAGTAAAGCAGTGTCCATCAAGGCCATCCCAGAGGTATCTAGGATGGACACTATGGGAGGAGAAGTCTAATTTTTAGTAGAGAAATCAAGCAACTCTTAGACTTGACACCGGGGCCATGAGACAGCAATTTGCTTCTGCTACAAGCACACTGAAATAAAATTCAGTTATTTGCATAAAGACAAATGCCATCCAAAGTGGCTCCCACGTTCATGTTTCCATCACTAGATCAGAGACATGAGCTGTGAGATCTTCCTCCTCTAAACGTTAACGAGTTAAAGAGAAGGGCTGGCATACTACTTCTGTAACCTTAACCAAAGGAGAAACCTCTATCAAGGTTTCTCTTCTTCCAATCGGCTTCCTACACTTGGAAAGTTTCTGGTGGTTGAAAGCTGTAAGAAAACAAGTATTTTAGAAGTTCCTTCTAATGCTCAATGAAATACTGTTCAAGCACTGTTCTTAATTTTTGCATCTGCAGATATTATTCCTCCTTTATCTTGGACAGAGTCATAGCAAGGAGTGAAGCAATACATAGCAGAGGGTGATGAAGGCAGAACTAGAGCAGAACTCGGGTCTACTCTTGCTACCCAGCAGACCATGATGCTTTATGGCACATACTGAGGTCTAACGTATACCTTTTCCTCCACATAGAAATTACTGATTTCAGAACTAGACTTTATGGGGGTACAGCTAGTCCTTTCGGTCAAAGTCTGCATTGCCAGTGATCCATACAAGATGATGCAAAGGTATACAGGTCAGCACAGGACATGCATTTAAACAAATCATTATAATTCTCTGAAAAGCTAAAAAATTGCCTGGAGCTTCACCCACAATTTGGAGATGCACAATTCTGGTGGGCTGCCCCTGCATGAGACCACTGAACCTCTAGAAATTGTGGTTGCTCTTGCTCAGGGGACAGTCTTACCCACATCCAGCTGACATTTAGTTACATATGCAGATTGTCTTTTCCCGCACAATCTTAGCAAACCCTGCCTCCTCCTGAAATAGCAGCACTAATTAGTTGGAGGTTGTGCTACCACAAATATCTAATCTGCAGCTGCATCCCCTGATCTATCCAATAGCTATGAGAGATCACAGACTGGGAGTTGTTTGCTGAACAATTACGCTATGTAACATAAATACTTACAAAAAGGAGAGGCACTAACTGTAACAGCCAACTACTCAGTGATTCTGTCCCTTGGTCCTGGGCCATTCATGTTCTTCCCACGCGAAACCCGTGAATATGCAGTTTCTACTTCTTGGCCATGACACGACATGCTCCATGCCAGTTATCTCTACACTTTGTTCCTCCGCATGTGTGTAACACAAAAGAATATTACAGCCTGTCTTGCCTCTTCTTTTTTCTCATTACCATGCTCAAGCATGTCATTTTCTTTGGCACTCCTTTCAAAAACCTCCAAGAGAATCTGAAACAAGGTCCAGCATGTTTCACCAAGCCTACCAGCAGCTAAAAGGGCTTCTTACAGGTATTTCTGACCTCTGAAAAAGCCAAAGTCATCAGCTGAAGGAGGGAGAGGAAAGGCTGCCACTGATGGAGAACGCCTAAATTACTCTGTTTCAGTGCCATGCTGACCCCAGATTGCAGGACTGTTTGGAAGTGGATTACATCCATTAATAAGGTTAGCCTACAATAAGACAACTGATCGATGGGTCCTGTGCAGCAGTAAAATAAAGGTTACACTGACCAGGATAGCAGCTGTGGATGATTAAAGCCTATTAATCCATCCATGACAGTGCTGCAAATCCACTGATCTCAACCTTGTTACACAGCTACGCCGGCACCACTGCGAGCACCCCTTGTTAAGGCTGTCCCGGTTGGCAGTCTGGCTATCTTCTTCACTCCCAGCGAAGACTGGGAGGACGTACGGCAAGAAGAGTATTTTCCTCAAGGTTACGAACCAGCAAACTGCTGCATGTGTGTGAAGGTAAGGAAGAAGGTGCGGGGACAGGGATGTGGTCCCTGTGCTCTCCACCCACATGCTCCGTGCAGGGCAGGCAGAGGGGCTTTGTCCAACCCACAGAACTCGTCATTTGAATCACCTGCCAAAACCTGAAAGGAAAGCTTATATATGGACTGACCTGCAATTCAGCACTTACAAATGCTACCTATCTCTCTGCCTCACTCTTTGCATGTACACTGTCGTGGTTCTAGTCACTCACTCTCCTCCAAAGAAGTTCAAAGCTGTAGCCAGACTGGTGTAAAAATAATGATGAAAATATCTGTTGATTTTTTAATGATTTTTGAGGCCAATATGGATACGCACAAGGATACAACTATGTATTTTTTCATACTGGTAAATAAAGGGAGGGAGAGATAGGGCAGGTGAGACATTCAGTGGCTCTAGTGGCCTGTGGGGCTGGCACAGTGGGTTCACAGCCTCCTCCATAGAGCTCCTAAGAGCTCGAAAACGTAATGGAGCAAATCAGTAACTTCCAGAGGGCACAGCGGCCTTTTGCCCGCTTTCCTCACTGGAAAAGATTAGGCAGAGCCTTCAGTCTCCCTTTGCCAATACATCCTCCTCACCAAGTGCCCTGTATCGCGTGCTGTGGTATTTGTACAGTTTTTTACCAATTTCGCTACAAGGAGAAACATAATGTGCGTCTGAGCCACAAAATCTCACCAGCTCTGCCCTGAAGCAGTGCCACGGTGGGAAGTGTGTTGTTGACATCCTACGGCAAAGCCATCACCTAGCGTTTCCTTTGCTAGGACTTTGTTAGACAAAGGTAAATTGTGTTGTTTCGTGAACTGTAAACCAGTTGACTAAAAGTCAAGTGTGTGTTTTGTCTGGTACTCCACAGAAAAAGCTGGGCTTTAAATAAGGAATATTTTTTAGCAGAACTCACTTCTTGAATTAAACCAATTTTGAAATTTATTTTTAAAAATCCACAGCTCCAGTAGTTATAGAAAAAGGGGGGAAACAGCCTACAAAACTTCCAGAAAACCTAAAATAAAGTAACGATTGGCACAGACTCATATGAATAGAACATCCTGTTGCATCCTGTACAAACTCAAGCACTCAAAGCCAGTGTGTACTGAAACCCAGGAACTCCATACTCAATTAAAACTCTAAACCACTCTGATTATATTTGACTGAAAAACAAAAACCATGAACACAGTGTGCTACCTATTTGCAAAAGAGACGTACTGGGTACCTTACCAAACTGTGCACACTAATCTTGAACTAAGCAACCCATTCTCCTTCAGCTGTGATATTTTGCTGAAATTTTGCAAAAGTATTAACAGCAAAAATAATTTTCACTAAACACTTTATCGGTAGTAAGGAAGAGTCTTTATAATGATAACTCAGATACTTTCTGTTTCATTTATAATAATCTCAATTTTCACACTGCTTTTAACTGATCATATACACATTGTTATTAGGAAATGTCAACTTTAGGGGCTTTTTTTGCCAATGACTTCTACAGTTAAATGATAAATGTGTCAACTGATAGTTCCCGCTAAACATTTCTCAGAAGTAAGGCAGATCCTGGTACCAAGATACAAATAACGCATGAAACAAAACCAGTTACTCTTAAATCTCATTTAGGGCCACTTTGCCACTAAGGTGCTCATTTCTGCTGGATGAGAGGAGTCTCTTGCACAGGACGCTGGGGCGATGTGCTCCTTGATTTTTCTTTTCCAACTTGTTGGGGGCCTGAGCTCGCAAAGCTGCCCCTGTGATTGCAGACACACACTCAGCCCCGTGCAAAAAAAACAAAAAAAACCAAAACCAAACCTGTAGGATGTTTCCAGGAGGAAATCTCAGCTCACCCCACTGATGTTCACACTAGTGTGTCACCAACCCTGCTCCTAACAGCAGCGAAGGGAGATGCTGCAAGAACACCTACTGCCAAACCTGCGGCTGGCTCCAGGGCAGAGGTGCTTCCCCTGGAGCCGGCAGAGGCAGCACCAGGCTCCCACCCTGAGATGCGCAGGCACACGGAGAGGCATCGGCAGGGACACGTACCCTCTTACTTGGGCCAACGTCTACCAAAGAAAGAGCGGAGGTCATATCTACACTATGACGTAACTGCGCTATTGAAAAAGCCGTGGACAACATGGATGGAGCACATTGTTGCTTTTCTCCTGGTTTGGCAGGTTGTGGAAATTATGTTACTAACAGAGAAAAGTAAATATCAACAGGGCAATAATTTAGACATTTAGGAAAATCTAGAATACCTAAAGAACTCTTGTGAAAATATTATTTGATGTTATGTTACTGTGCCTGTGGATGACCTATCATATCCTCACAAAACAATACAGAAAATCCAGGTAACAAAAATCTGTTTTCCTCCTCAACTTGCAGCAATATTCATGGGAAAGTAACTTTGCCACGGCGTACTTACATCCATGTAGGTGGTACGCAGTAGGAGATAAGGTGAAATGACAGAGGAATGAAACTGTCTATCATCTCATTTAAAGCTTTTGTGTTTAGATCAGTTCCACAGATTGACTACAGATTTTGAATTCATAGCACTGTGCGTCAAACCGCCGCTTAGCCCTCCGTTGGACACTCATCTATCAGACTGAAATTAAACACTCAGACAATGTATATAAGCTGTAAAATCTAAGAAAGGTAGTTTTGGCTTCAAAACCTGAAATATATAGCATTGAAAGGTGTTGGTTGTTTTGGTTATTGCCACATATGATAAGCACTGACTGCTTAAACAAATGTGTTTGACAAGGACAAATTCCTGGAGCACATCATTTTCTGAAAGAAAAATTCTTCTTCATAAAAATAGCTTAAATAAGAAATATGAAACTTAGTGACCTGACTAAATACAATTTGGAGTTTATTTCCTGGGCAGATTGATCTCTTGCTTGGTTTGGGAGGACTGCAGCTGCTTCTGTGGGGAACAGTTACACAAAATGCTAACAATAAAATCAAATAAATTATTAACATCAGAAATTTAAATGATATTATAACTACTTTTTAGTCTCCATGTAAACATCATTAGTGATCAGATTTTGGGGGGGCAGTGGTTATAAGTCATTGATATTGGTGCTTATACCCTTGATCCTGGCTCAAACAGATTTTCTATAAGGTACCATTTAAACATGTTTTCTTCAAGATATCATATATATGCGAGAATTTAGACAGAACAATTGGATGGCTGGGCTAGAGCATGTACTGATGGAAATCTGTGATCCACTGGACTCGGTGATGATCAGCAAAATTTGACACTTGATCATTTTTCACTGAAATCCGTGCGAATTCCCCACTGATTCTTACCTCAAATGACTCGGAATCGATGAATACCAAATGGCACCAAGAGGTGCGAGTCTCTGTGAGAGCAAGGGAGGATCCGAACCCTGCCTACAGCTTCAATATCACATTTGCCTAATGTAGACATAACAGACAGATCATCAGGTCACAGTGCTTCGTAAATACTGAGCTGTAGCATGTTTTGGCTTCATACAGCTGTATTGAAGAAATTTCAACACCATTTCAGAAAAAGTTTCTATAAGAACCAAAGATCTCAGGAGCTGAAGGAAAAGTGTACAATACCGGATATATCAAATGGTGCAGCTTACCAATTTATTTTGGAAAGGGTGTAGGCATTTAGAAGACATGTTCATCAAATGTACTTCACTAAAATGTTCCTCCAGATAAAGTGAGAAGGCCAGTAAGTCAGGGCCACAATAGAATTAAAAACGCTTGGTTTGAAATACTAGTCCGGACTAAAACTTCAATATAAAATCCTAGCCGAGTAACGTAGCAGAAATAACATACCTGTTTGTCAGCGGCCCTATGAAGGGGTTAGTGATTAGCTGCACTGTTGCTTTGGAAGCAAACAAGAGCCCGACTTGAACATTTTCATTCAGCAGGTCCTTATCTTCCTTAGGGCAGTCAGACGGGGAAGGAGTCACATTTACTATCATTTGTTCTGTCTGAGTATGATGCAGCTCTCTGGGCTGTGTCTTATCAGATTCGTTTCCAGTAACCATTGTTGAGTTGTCATAGTAGGAGAAGATGCTCTGAAAATTGTCCATCGTTGGTGAGACTGCATTAGGCTTAGTAGTCTGGATTTCTGTGGCATTTTTCTCATGTTTGATGCTGTAAAGGTAACTGGGAATTATTGGCACTGGAAAAACAAATAGAATATATTGGCATCTTACTATCAGGTTATTTGCAAACGGAATCACCAAATTTTCTTATTTGCTTTGCCATTGATTAGAAAATACAAGGCTTTCCTACAGAGCACATTAGTAAGGATTTTGAACAGCGGAAACACAGAACTAAAATAGAAGTTTACTCATGGGAAAAAAATACACCCATAACTCAACTCAGAAGTGCAGTTAAAAATAAAAAGTTCTTTTACATTAGTCTTTATATTTTGCCAGTTTTCATAAAGGTAAGATTTTCTATACCGACATAATTCAGAAAGCAAAATATAAGAAGAGTCTCTTTGTTGCACGACTGTGAAGCACGATTTAGATTGTGAAAACATGAAAGATGAGAAAAGCATTGAAACTATTGTTAAACCAAAATATTGAAAATGTAATAAAACACGTTTCTAAAATAAACCACAAAAACATTGATAAGTAACAGCCCTAAGAAGGAAAAAACCATAACACTCCTATATTAAGTAATCAGAACTCATATATTGATGTTTGCATATCTCACTACTGTTTTTAAAATTGACATTGAAAAGATCATCCAGAAGGGCCTGCTTTGTATGCTTTACGGTCTTAGCTGCAATTTAATTGCATCAATATGTATCTCATAAATGTGCATTTCCGAATTTGTAAAAACAGATGTCAGGTTCATTCAATTTAACACTAGTGACAGAACCACCCCTCCTTGTCTTGCATCTCTTCCTAAAAGAGCCCACTCTTTCAGTAAGTCTGCAAACTATAATAATTTCTAGGGCTTCTTGCATCCATATTACTGAACAACTAATGAAATGTTAACTTTATAAGAAAGTATATTAATGTAAAAAAAAAAAAATCCAAACATCGACTTGCTAAAAATATATATGTTTTTAGCTAATGTCTACATCGGGGTATCAGCTTTTAAGCTGAAGCCCCTCAAGACATTCAGGAGTCTGATTCAGAAGCTGACACTGCCGCATCGTCCGAGAGCCGGCTCTGCACAGCCCGATTCCCTTCCGACGGAGGCATGGGCATTCGTGTGTGTGCGTGTGCATCCATGAACCACTAGTTTCTCCAAACCTTTTTCTTCAAATTCATATAAACATTTCAATATGAGGAACTTCTAAAACTACCAGTGGAAAAAGTTCAAGCGTTAGGAGCAGATTCCTAAATCTTGACACTATGCAACTGAAGCCAGTAAAAGTTGCATCTTCAACTTTGATCAAAACTTGGATTATTTTATTAAACCAACTCACGGAACTGCTTTTCTAAAAACCCAGTTAGACAGTTTTCTTATTAACCTATCATTTTAAGACCAACGTGGGGGAAAGAGGAACTATCGCAAGGAAACAGGCATCTCCAATGTTATCTAGCCTGTTGTTTCAGTTGCGTGACCACAGGAGAAAAATGATGATGAGCTAAAAATACTGTTATCTGTTGTTCTGTGAAGTATTAGTGGTGTTTAGTAGAAAAAAAGAATCATGAAGAACTTTTTATACCCTTCCTTATCCTGCAATTAACATAGAAATAAAGCCAGACTTTGGTGTGTATGGCAGTGTGTTTGCAATACCTAGAATATAATTCGTGTTTAAAAAAAAAAAAAAAATCAGTGCTTGAAAATGTTTGGTTTGAGAGCATTAATCATGCATTCAGGGAGTACATCTGTCACTGGAGATTACTTCTGGCATAAATCGGAACGGGAGAAAAAACCAACAACAACAACAAACCCCAACAAACCCCAACCATTCCACCTACCGACCACCGTCAGCAGCATGTTGTCCAGGAGCAGGGCGATGAACACAATCAGCAGGATCAGTTTCCTGGACTGCCGGCTCTCCCGGAGCCAGCGGAGGAGGCTGAACTC